TAAACGAAAATCACGATTTTGGCAAATTTGCACTGTTTTCGCTACTAACAAAATTTAGCTTTTATGCTCTTGATTTCTTCATTCAAAAGCTTTCCAAAAATATCAATAAAAGTCCAAAAATACATTTAATCAAACATTAAATCAAAATAGTACAAATTAAGCTCAAAAATATTAAATTAAAGTCAAGTGTGCAAACCTAAAATAAGATACACATTTTCCTAATTTAAGCAACCAAAATATATACAATTAAAATAAAATATATCAAAATTTAAAAAAAAAATGTAATGAAATGACATGAAATTATAAAAATTAATACACCGCAATTATAGATGATAATTTGGTTGGTATTTACTGAATTTATCATGCCATATAGTGATAAGACTCTGAGAATTACTTGAGTTTAGGGTACAAAAGAAGGAATTTTAATCAAAAAGAATTGAGAAACCCTTATGATTAAGGGTCTAACTTGCACCGTTTTGCAGGCCATTCCATCAGTTCCTAAGATCAAAGACGGATATAATCCTGCTATGTGGATGTTGGAGATCACTTCTCCGGCAGTTGAGCCTCAACTAGGTGTAGACTTCGCAGAACTTTACACCAAGTCAGAATTATATCAGTACGTAATAGCCACTGCGTCCCTCCTAACATCAGAAATTAGGTAAAATTTCCTTCTTTGCTTGTTTCCCAGGAGGAATCGGAAACTTATCAAAGAGCTAAGCACACCAGCAGTAGGAGCAAAGGACCTTTACTTCTCAACTAAATACTCCCAGCCATTCATTACTCAAAGTAAAGCTTGCTTCTGGAAACAACACTTGTCCTATTGGAGGAATCCACCTTACAATGCCATCCGGTTGTTCTTAACATTAATAGTCGGTGTTATGTTTGGGCTTATTTTTTGGAAAAAAGGTGATAAAATGTATGTAAACTAGTTCTCCTTGTTGCTAGTATCTTTTTCAATACCTATTAACTCTTGATTGCTGACTCTATTTGTATAGCTTTCCAATAATTATTTCTTAAATCCTCAATGATAATTGATTTCATGCTTATGAATCAGAAACAATTAAAAACTTGGGGTCAAATATTGTGTCTGCAGACAAAAGGAACAAGATCTGTTCAATCTCATGGGTGCTATGTATTCTGCCATTTTCTTCCTTGGAGCCTATAACACTTCCTCTGTCCAACCTGTTGTTGCTATAGAAAAAACAGCTTTCTACCGTGAAAGAGCAGCCGGAATGTACGCAGCTATCCCTTATGTATTTGCTCAGGTAAATTTAGCTGATCCTTTTATTTCGAAGAGGGCAAAATCAGTTGTGAATTGACTAAAACCCCATTTTGGTCCTATATGACTTCAATAGCAAATCCCTCAGAATGTATCACGTCACTATTCAAAAGGTTTTATTTCAATTCCATAAAACATTTTCCTCTCGTTGATCATAATATCATTAAACTAACTCTGGAAGGATATAATTGAAACAAGATCTGGCTTTCAAGTTTCGAGCGCTAAGGTGATTTTATACATGGGATCTTACTCTTTGATTATCCAGATCACTGATGAAATTTATGCAATATGCAAAAACTTCCCTGTAGGTAGCAGTTGAGATGGTTTATGTAGCAATCCAAACGCTTTTGTATGGCCTTATACTTTTCTCCATGATGGGGTTCAGCAGGCAAGCTGACAAGTTCTTGTTCTTCTACTACTTTCTCTTCATGTGCTCTGTCTACTTCACTCTTTATGGGATGATGACTGTAGCTCTCACACCCAACCCTCAAATTGCCGCAATCATTATGTCCTTCTTTCTCTCCTTCTGGAACCTCTTCACTGGTTTCATTATCCCAAGGAAGGTATGCATAGCAAAGAAACGATCAAATATATTTACAGCCAAGAATTTACACGAGGAAAAAACTATTTTTATTAGTTTTATTGCAACGATCAAATATATTAGTTTTATTAGTTCACATGTAAATGATTCACCAAATAGCATATCTTTGCAATTGAACAATCTCTAGATTATTCTATTCAATTTCACTATCATAGTGCTTACCATTCAATTTTTATTCCTCCCATTATCATAATATTTTTATTACACATTCCTTTTAAAAACAAATAGTTCTGTCCACAAATCATAAATAGATTTATCAACTTTTACGATATTTGTTTGTTAAAATCATGATAAGGTGGACTTTCATTCAAGGGTGGAGAGAGGGGGGACCTACCCCCCTAATTTTTAATTTTTTCTTAGTAAAATATAAAGGTTATATATTTTTTGCTTCCATAAATTGACATATTATAAAAGTTGTGAAACACTAGATGAAAATTTCATTTCAATTTTATATGTAATATTTTACTTATGCATAGAGCAATTATTTCAGTAACTTGAAAATATGATTGTCATAGGATCTATTTATTTTTAACAAGATAATGTTATACATGCTTTTAAAGTATTGATGCCATTTTATGTTTAATGAAAGAAATTATGAGAATTATTATTAACAAACTTTGTTAAGCATTGCAAGATATATAGAATATTATGTGCTTAATATCTATCATAAAATCACTTGTCTAAAAGTTAAGAGGTTGGTGAAGATGTTCTTCTAAAAAAAATTACTTTTTAAAATAATCAAGCTATTGAAATTTATGATATGAATGATTTTTAGTCTAATATAATTCAATCTCATTGACATAAGGATTTTATGACAATTGAGCATTATTAATGTGTTGATATATTTATTTACTATGATTATCAATTAAAAGAATTAAATAATAAATTCAATAAGCAAGTAATAGAGCTTATTACATTGAACAAAACTTTAAACTCTAATAATATATTTAAATCATTTAATGCTCATAGGGATGATAAATTTTTTACCAATTTAATGATAATTTATATTGAGAAGGAAATTGCTAAAACATTTATCATAGACATAATAACTATATATATTGTTATATATGTGTAATGATATAAATATATATGTTGATATATTTATATTTTGTTGGTGATTTATATATATATATATATTATATATTTAACTTTTCTTTAATTATCATATATATATTTTCATCTCGGCTCCCCTTAGGCTTTGCCATTGCTTTCATGTAAGATGAATCAAGTGCTTCCATTGCCCAATCAATGCAAAAATTCTTAAGTAGGCTGAATTTACCCATTCTCTCTAATTTGTTGACCAAAGCACAAGATTGTGTCATAATTGTTAGATAGAGTGAGTCAAAGTTTTCACATTCAGTGCCCAACTATGCCTTAAACAGAATTTTCTCTAATGGGAGGACATCTGTGCGCAATAAAAAACATGCACTTTTTTGTTGCAAATAGATCACCTTTTACTTTATTACCTTCTTCACTGTGAAGCATAAGTGACCGCTTGTGCTTGTTTGCAGCTAATTCCTATATGGTGGAGGTGATATTACTGGTTAAGCCCTGCAGCTTGGACTACATATGGCCTTGTGACTTCCCAAATAGGTAACAAAAATAATGTGGTAGAGATTCCTGGATCAACACCAATACCAGTAAAAGACTACCTTGAGAAGCACATGGGCTATGAATATGGTTTCCTTGGAGCAGCTGTTGTTGCTCATATTGCTTTTGCTGTTCTATTTGTCTTTGTATTTGCATATGGCATCAAGTTCCTTAATTTCCAGACAAGGTAGGGACTGCTAATGGATAGGAGAAATGGACATGAAATTCAGTGCTTTTTGAGAGCTTTGTTTTAAGGTGCAAGAAGCAATTAATATGGATATGAATTTCTGAGTTATCCTTGACTAAATGAAATTATTGCTGCGAGAGATTTGTTTGAATTTTCATGTCTGTTTTGGATACATTTCTGAGTGGCTTTCCACTGTATGCAGTCTCTTGCAAGTTGGGACCATGGATAGTTGTGCCACTGCCATTCCATTTTTGTTTTGGATGGTTATGGCACTTTTCTTTTAGAGCAGAACAATGTATGTAATGTTTAAAATCAGTTATATATATTTGAAGTTTTAATGTTTGTTGTGAATTGAGATCATTCACATTACTAATCTCTTATCCTTATTAAAATTTTCCATAATATGCCAACTGTGCATGAAACCACATTTATTTTCCAGTTAGCTCCAATTCAATTTTTAATATCTAAACAAGTGAATAAATTTGATTAAATCAACAATTTATCTGAAATTGAGAACCACAAATAATCGTTAATGAGAGTAATATGGTTTTACATGCCAATTACTTCTCAAGTGAAGGGGAGATTATTATATTTCATTATAGAAATACATGGTTTTAGAGAATGTGAGTAGATCATAGAATTTTTATTTTTTTATATATTTCTTTTTGTTATTTAAGCAAAATATTATTCTTATAACTTATTTATACTGCCAATTTTATTAATGTTGTTGATTGTTCAACAATATCATTACAATTTTGCTATTAAGTTTACAATACCTCTATTAATGGCAAGTGATATTGCAAGTTACTGCTAGAAAATAGAATATAATTTGCTATAATTTTACAACCGAGGAAATAAAATCCAATTGCTTATAAAAGGAGGCGTATATTAGGAAAACTAATATATAACTTTCTTCATAAATAAGTCATCCAATTTTCTTAACATATGTGAATTTATTTACTAGCTCTTATATTTAGAATCAGAGAAGGGGAAAAAAAAGTAGTTGGGCACATAACATTTCCAAAAACTTCCTTTTAAGACAGACGCGTCAACAGTCAAAAAATACACTGATTCTTGTTAATTGCTACACTGCCATAATGTAAACTACTGTTAAGCCTTCAATTTGATTTTCGTACTTCACTGCATTTCATCTATTTTAACATGGTCACTCTCAAATACATTCCCCAGACTCGAGCAAAGAGCCAATGGCATTTTGCACTATGTTAGCTTTAAGTTCAATTTTCAAGCCATAGCATACGTTGCCACCTGCACAGGCATGCCATTTTAGAGAAGCCTTTAGTGCCTGATTCTGTTGGAACATAGGTAATTCCTAAATACATCACTTAAAAAGACGAAGTACTATTGATTCATGAAATTCCAATTTCCTGATCTATGCACAAAATAACTGATAAAAGCACAGGGCAAATCAAATCTGCAATTAGTACACCAAATCTACTTTCTTACTTCCAGGGAAAATGAAATTCCCACGAGCTTTGAGCTGACCTGCAACTACCGCCTCTCATTGGCTTTGACAGGATCCTTCTCTAGCAGCTCAATCTCCTTTCTGCTCTTTATGATACATCGTTTCTTAGAATTGAAATCTAATTTGTCCAAGTCCTCAGCAATCCCCATATAACCATAAAGAATACCCTCCATTTTGTCGCCCTGTATTTCCTGTTCATCAAGAACACTGCACTTGCCAGTTTTAGATCTTATTCTCCCATATTCCACTCTTCCACGTTTGCAATCAGAAAGATATTTATTAAGCCTCTCTGCATCTCCCAGTCCAACAAAAGTGCCCAAGAACTTCACCAAAATAACACTTTGGTCCGCAGGCTTCCCTAAGCATACTTTGATTCTTCCCCTTACAAAGCCTTTGCCTGCAATTCTCAATGAATAAAGGATAAGCTATACATGCCTTTTTTTGCAAGATTACAGATCTTTAATAGAGATTCAACTGAGAACTAGGTAATAGCCAAAGATCTTCAAGATTAACTGAATCTTGCACGTAACATACGATGATAATGGAAGAGATGAATTCCATTTACACAAACCATGCGAAGTGTGGGGGAAAAAACAGAAAATTGATTTTTCAAACCATCAAATAAAAAATTCTGAAGGCAAGCTCTCACCTCTAATGAAAGCCTCAACTGTTTCCATGCTTACCACCTTCCACTTTTGTGGATTGTCATCAGACATTGATACATTATGGATGACAACAACAGGAGGCCAGAGAATTAAATCTTCCTTCTGTGCCAGGGCTTCAGCATTAGGCAAGACCTGGGGAACCCACGTTACTGTATCTTGAGGAACAACAGTATCCCATCCCAACAGAACACAAATTGCTCTATGAAGACCCAAGTGAGCTATTCTTAATCCAGCCTTATGGGACATAAAGGCATGAGTTACAAGGCGTTGAGTGTCCAAGAACTCCTTCGAGGAACTGGAATTAAAAAAAAATTAATAATAAAATAAAAACAAGTTACGACTTATTAAGCATTAATAATTGCATGCAGTGTCACTCCAACAGAAAAGCTCAGAAGCATAACCATTAATTTGACTTCAACAAGATAAAAGCCTGATAGCATTTTACAACAACTACAGCTAGAATTTAAAAAACAAGACCAAAAAAAAAAGAAAAAAGCAAGCAAAACACAGTAATTGATTAATAGCAAGTTCAGCGATTCCCTATGAAGTAAAACACAGTAATTGTTTAATAGAAACAAAGACTATGGTAAAATAAACTTCAGAAGTATAGCTATTTTGCTATTGTATTTCTTTCCAGATAAACAAAATAAGAACTTGATTTTTCTCAGATATCCTTCCTGTGTTCTCTTCCTTCCAAAATAGAATCAGTCCAGATCTTTGAAGTTATCTAAGGCTAAGCAACTAGTGGAACACCCCCCCCCCAAAATATTATTTGTTTCACAATATGTTAAATGCCAGCTGAGAAAAATTCTATCCCAACTCCAAAAATATGGAATAAAGATATATTTCGTTTTTGAAATCATTTAAAAAAAAAAAAACACCACTTCTACATTAGCTTTAACGCATGATGGTCCCAAAAAAAAAAAATAGCTTTAACATATGCCATCAATATAGCAGTTTATTTATAATTTTTTTAATTCCAGTGGTAGGGTTGGCACTGATGCCAATAAACACATCTAAGCTTCTAACTCAATAAAAACAATTGCGCAGAAGAAACACATTTTACTTCAGAGTTATAACAAAATATATAACCTAGGCTCTGAACCTTTATCAAAAACTTAAAGCATATACACTTGACTGAACCTGTAAGTTCAATGCCACATTGATCCTGATTTGACATGCAACCAAAAGTGTCCATTAACAAAAAGAATCACAGAGAAAGAAAGCAGACCTTCTGCCCCATATAGTGCAGTATAATCTAGCCTAAAAGCTTGATGGAAACCTGATCCTTGTACACATTCCATGAACACATACAGAAATTTACTATCATCCTTACAGCCAAAATAAACAAGCTCATGGCAGAATCCAAGAGAGAGACAAAACCGAAAAGGGAACACTAAGAAAATCTAGGGAAATATCTCGATAACATTTAAGGACCTTACTTTTCCCTTTACACAAGCAAGGCGTGTGCTTTGACCTCACAGCAGTTTCCCCAGAAAAGGCCACTTCTGTTATTGTAGCAATAAGGGAAGACCAAGTCTTGAGGTGGTGTGCAGCCTCTGCAGTTTATATGGCATATTTGGTTGGAAAGGGGTGCAGACATATTTAATGAAACTTTGGTGTCAGTTGAGGTGGTGGTGGATTTGGATTGTGTTTATGCTCCCCTTTGGTGTTCTTTGATTGGTTTCTTTTCAAGGGATGTCCTTATCAAATATGTCAAGCAATTAGAGGACGACGTTAATTTCATGATTCTTTTATTTTAATCTTATCCTTTTTTTATCTAAGAGGATACCATATTGTCTGTATATTTTCCCTTCTTCCGAAAAAAAATTCATCTGCATGTGTAAAAGGAATTTTTCCTCACCTCCTTCTTTTCCTTCCTCAATGTCATACTGCTATAGTCATCTAAGGGCCAACATTACTATTTGGTATGTCATTTTTCAGAGCAATACAACTAGATATCAATTCTAACAACAGCTCCATGTCAAGTTCTTAATTTAAAACCTATACACTTCCACCATTATTCATAAGCATCGAAATCACTTCCACTAGCTTCACAACTCATGTCCATCCACATGTCTTTTTACCATATATTTTATCCTAAAGACAAAGGATAAAATTGATGCGACAAATCCATCAGGAACTCCACCGTAAAAAAGCAGAAGAATCACATTGCATCATGTTATACTTCAGAGTCATGAAAATATATCATCTAAGGCCCAAAGCACTAAGCATAAGAAATTATAGCATGCATACTTGACTGCACCTGTAAGTTAAATATCACAGAACGCTTGATTCAATACGTGAACAGATGTGCTCCATTTATAAAAAGAGCAGCATGGAAAAGAAAACAGACCTTCTACCACATACGATGCAGAACAAACTACCAGCTTTTCCTTGCCTTTGTACCTTCTCTGAACTGATGAGTTCACACTCAACCTCTTAGAGTACATTAGGAAAGCTTCTTGTACCTTTTGATTAAACTCCTCAGAGCCTTCCATTGGCTCAGATTCTGTTGCACTTACCAAATCTTCAGGTAACTCATCATTATTTGTATGCACATTCTCACAATAACCCTGATATTTTTTCCAAACTTTAGGTTGTTTTTGAAATGCATTTCTTTTAAAAGAAGGCTGGAGCTTATTCCAGCTTGAAGAATTATATCTTGTATGACTCTTTACATTTTGATTGGAATACTTGCGAAATCGAAATGTATGTTGTTGTGCATATCCCACAGAATCTTGAGATGATAACCAGTCATCAGATGGAAAATCTTCTACCATGGCCAATTCATTGTATTCTCTTTTGTCCTTTCTGTAGAACCTATGGTCAAGTCCAACATTATCAGATGAATACATCACATTCATTTCTTCATCGTCTATCCACTCTTCATCCTCATAAGGATCTTGAAATTCTTCAAGTGCATCCCACTTGTATGATTTTATTGTTCTTGAATCACGCAGATATATGTCATCATCTGCATTGTATTTTCTTTTCAACTGTCTATCAGAATGATCATGAATGCCAAGACCCTGTTTCATATCATGCACTCTGGCAGCATGTCCATGGGTTTCTGAATCATGTTTAGTCAAAGGATTATTTTGAAATCTTTCTTGCTGAAGGCCTGGACCTCTATTTCTTTGAGACTCATATTCCAATCTTAATATTGATGGTCGCTTCAGATTTCAAAATGATTATACAGAATTCAAACAATCCTCACTCTGCTTTGATGCAATTGATGTTCTGGCTATATCAGGGTAGTCAACATACTTTGGTTTCTGCAATGTAGAGTGGTCATTTATAGAACCTCTCCTGTGATTACCATAATATTCTTCACCCTGACCATTTCTATCTAGAACAGGGTTCATAATAAAGGGTGCAGGCAACTCTTTATTATTATATTCCATTTGAGCTTTCTCATAGTCTAACCGTCCATGTGGAGCTATCCTTCTATGCAAATCGTCATACTGATATCCACATTCACCCTGCGCATCTGCTGAATTTGGAATTAAGATATTCTTCTTGTTCAGTCCTAATGGGGCTGAAGGCACATCGTTGCTGACCAATATTCCTCTGCCCAGCGCTGCATCTCTAGCAGTATCCATAAGCGGCCTTTGTCCATATCCACTATATCCTACAGGCTCTGGAAGTTTTCCACTGTTCCTTGGCAGTTCAAAATATGCAGGTAAATGGTTGCCATTATGATGAGAACATAATACATCACTCCTTGGCATTCCCAGAGAGGAGCTTCCATGATCCCTCAACTGAGAAGTACTCGCATGATCCTTCATATAAGGTGGTGATATTGTTGGGTGTGATACTTCTGTTGCATGTAAAATAGGCTTTTCTACGCGTTTTAAGATTCAGCAACAGGCAGCTTATCTGTAGATAGAGGGTCTCGATGCTGTAGTTGTTCATGCTCAAATCTCCGCAGGTCTACGCCCCTTGAAAAAAAGTGTCCATCAGTTTCTTTATATTGAGATGTTAGGCCTGTATCAGGAACTAGCACATAAGGTCCTCGAGCTTCACTTTCATGTACCATCAACTTATGGTCCAGCATGCCTGGTCCATGACCTAATCTGCTTTCAGTTAAATCCTTCTCTCTATTAACCATAGAGTTAACATGGTTATGTCCATATACATGCTTTGTATCCAAATTTTCACCATCAACATAGTATTCTGTGGTTCTGGCCAGTTCATATCTTGGCCTCATCCCCGGAGATGGGGAACAACTTCTACGCCTAACCCCATCATCATAAAGTGACCTTTTTCTCGCTTGTTCTATAGGAGGCGATCTGGAGTTGACCCGACTGCTCCTTCGGTCTCCCAAATGCCAACCATGATCTCTCCTCTCAAAACCATCGCCCCTTTTGTTTGCACCCGCACCCCTTGGCAGCCCATCTATCTTATGAGGACTCAAGTTTCTCTCAGGTACGACCTCCCGACCCAATCCATCACGGCGAGTTCTTCGATATGAGTGAGAACCCAGTTCAAGTCGGTGCTGAGCACGCGATGTTGGAGATACTGTAATATGATCTTGACGCCGTCTAGATTGCATTTCGAGTTCACTAAACAAAGATAAACCTAAAACCCTAAATTTTTAACCTTTTCCCCCAATTGCAATTGACCTAGATATTACAAAAGCCCCACCAAGCGAACTGATCCAAAATTCCAAACACCGCAACAAAATTACAAGGTCAAACCCAATCCCAGAACCCTAACCCTAGCAAGTTCTTGAAGGATCCGTTAGCAAACACAAATCAATGAAAATTCGAGGGCAGTGATGCAAGGTAAAAGAAAAAAGTGTGAGCTATCGACAATATTTCTCAAACCTTTTTGGAAGAAATAGTGAGGCTCCCCATGTAGATAGAGGAGTAAGGGTGAATGACTCGCAGTGTTAAATCAAGCGAGGAAACAGTGTTCGCGGAATCAAGAGAATAGTAAAGAGAGATTTGGAAGAGGAAGAGAAAGTGACGCCACTGATGAATGATCTTTGCTGGAGCGCACAGAAAAGCGGCGTGGGATTCACTGTTTCTTCTTCAGATCATTCGGACTTTTGGTTTGTGTACGAAAAAGTGGGTTTCGCTGGCCAGAAAAGAAAGAAAAGAAGATAAAGAAAAAGAAAAAGCAACTTTTTTTCAGTTTTTAAAATAATTAAAATTAAAATTAAAATATAGCTTTACCTACACATTAGATAATAAATGTTGACTATTAATATACCATAAAAGAATATAATTTAATTATCTAATAAACATTTATTATTATTTAATATCAGAGTAAAAAAACATTACGTGTTAATTATTTTAAGATCAAAAATATTATCAAATAATTTGAAATATATGAGTTTTTTGAATAATATTTTAAAAATAAAAATACACATTTACCACCCCCCTTAAAAAAAAAAAGTGAGCTTCCAATAAATTGCTTCACGTAGAAGAAAGCACCACCGTTGCTATGCTGTCTGTCCTTATCTACACATGTGCAACGCAAACAAGAAATTGTAGCTTGACTGCTTGCATATTTTAGGGAAATAATCTTTTTTTAATCCTTATACTTTGCACCAGTTTCTAATTTGGTCTTTCAGCTTTAAAAATTTGTAAATCAATCCCTGGGACAAAGCATTGGTGGCAAATAGATGATTATCTAATGGAAACGAGAGTAGGAAGATGATAACAGTGTAACCTTTGAATCTACTTTCCCATTACTATCATTATAGTATAGTCATATACCCCATTAAAATGAAAGAATATGTGAAATTATTCGTTTTTTAACATAGAACATAATTAAGAAGGAGAAAGAAGGTTGAGAAGACTGCAAAAATGAGAGTAACACAATGATCAAATGTAATAAAATATTTTTTAATGTCTATCTGATATCGTCATGTAAAAAATTTAAAAATTGATTCAAAATTTAAAAATTTTATTGAATTATATATACTTTCTAAAATTAGTTGCTATCTTTGTTCATATTACTTATAAAGTCTGAAATATCTATGCACTTTTTCTAACCTTAATCTCTTATCTACTATTTTCTTTTTCGAGATTCCATATATGCACAAATAAAGAGCCCTTTATTCTACTATTCTTCCATTTTTTCTAAGTTCTACTATCACAAGATGATGATATTAATGTAGATTCAAGGACTGCCTCACCTTCTTTGCCACCTCATACAAGCATCTATTTTCAACCTATTTACTGTGAATCTTTGTGATGACACTGTTTAAGCCACATGGAGAAGAAGGGATGTCTTTGTAAACAACATAAAATAAAGGATTTAGATTTGTCACATTAAATAAGTTTAGGGAGTGATTCACAAAAATGTAAAGTATAAGGACTAAAGAAAAAAATTGCCACAAAGTATGGGAATTACAACATTAACTTTTCCCATATTTTTAAAAGAAAAACATACTTTTTATCCTTATATTTTGCTCATGTTTTGCTATTGATCCCTATATTTTTTTTCCTATGTTTTAGGTCTCTAAAATTTCATTTTTCAATATTTTAGGTTCTAAATGAACAAAGTGTAGGGATGTTAGATAAATATAAAACACTGAAAAATAAAAGTGTAAAGACCCAAAACACCAAAAAAGTACAAAAACTTATAACAAACACAAGGAAAGGCAGGGAACCAAAAGGTATGTTTTTTTTATTTTAAATATCAAATTGACACTTAGTTCAAGGAGTTTTAATTTTCCTTAACTAAGGTTGTAAAATCTTTTAAATACAAAAAAATTATTTGTGTAATAGTTTTACACATGTATAATTTGATCTATCTTGATTTAAAATTAGTCAAGATCCTATATAAGTTTTAAAAATTAGTTTGATATTAAAAAAGTGTATAGATAATTTATTTTTATTGATACTTTAAAACTTCATTTTTTTTCCAGAACTTGTACCTACACAAATTCTTCACTTATAATATTTAAATCTAAAAGGTAGGGACTGAGGGAGTTGTTTTTTTTTCAAATGAAGGATAGAATGGTAATTTAACAAGAAAAGCTAATGTTGAAAAAGTTTTTTGCGATTGAAGTATAATTATCTTTTTCATTGGGACATCTATTCAGTGCATTATTCTATTTCAGTCCCCAGTTTGGATGTCATGATGTCATCCTCCCCAGTTTGTAAAGTTTGCATTTTATTACATAAAGTAAAAGAAGCTATGTGAATAAATATTAGGAATGATTTAATAGAGAAACGATTAAGCAATTAACAGAATATTAGAAGTTTAAACTTTCAAGATTGATAAAAGAAATGAATGATTTCATATCTCATACTCTCTCCATTTTTTAATGTAGGAGTATTTTAACCAACACAATTTTAAAAAATTAGTTAATCAAAATAATTATGTCTCAAATTGAAATATTTGAACTAAAATGTCCTTGTAATTAATGTTTATTTTGTCCTCTAATTTAATGATACTATCCATTTATGAAAGACAACTTGAAAAAAATATAACTAGTATTTATTGAAATTTATAGTTTTGCTTGTAAGAAAAAATAAAGAATATAAAATAGTTTCCCTTATATTTAAAAATGGGTAATACATACTTTATTAACTTTAACGTTTGTGACTTGAGATTTTGTATGGAGTAACGGAAATTTAGTCATTTCACACATGAAGGTCCTTTGAACAAACTAAGTTTGAAAAAATAAAAAATCAAATAAATAAAATAATAATGAAGAAATTAATAGGAATATATTACTTCGAAAGTAGATATAGAAAAGCATGAAAGTGATATCACCAAACTTTACAAGGGAAAAAAAGTTTTACAGAAGCTTCTCTATGATATGATGAAATTCCTCTGTTGTGTAGAATGATATTGATAATGGTAAAGTAATAGACTTTACACAATCAATACATGCATGCCCTAAAAATCCGCTTGAACTCAAGTTGTTGAAGTATGATGATAATGAATGAATGCTATTAAATAGGTTATGTCACTTCTAAGGTGGACAAGGCACAAAGGTGAAAAGTTAGTCACAATTGTTACCTAAATTAACATATCCTTTTGCTTCAAGAAACAACAATATTTAGTCCCATGTAGCAACTTTATTCTGTCCATTATTTAACTTACTTAGGATTAAAGAGTAGAAGTCACTCTTAAGAAAAGCAAAGGTACTATGTCATGAGGTACATTTATCCAATGGCATGCCTTATATATAAAAACCTCACCTTTTTCTGCAAATGCAGTCTCAGATTAGTTTCAAATTCTCATCTGAAACCTTCACACACAGATTAGTGAGATCCTCTTGGATGCATTCAAAACTTCTATTAAGAAGAAACCAATGGGAATTTCTTTGCTTCTTTCAAAAGTCAAGGGAAAGCTAGTTTTGAAGTGAACGCAAAACAATTGCCAAGCTGAGACATAAAAATCAAAAGAAAGAGTTCTGGCTACCTAGTTTTGCAGACAGAGAAAGAGAGAATTTATAGGATGAAGAACATTGGAATGGTATCGGAAGCAGTGGGAGGCTATCAACAGAAGATTTAGAGGATGAGCAGATATCAAAGCTGGCCATTTCTACATTTCAAGCTAAAGAAGAAGAGATAGAGAGGAAGAAGATGGAGGTTAGAGAGAAAGTTGAACGTCAACTTGGTCGTGCTGAAGAAGAGACAAAACGTTTGGCTCATATTTGGGAAGTAAGTTTCATTCTAACTTCACAAAAACTTGCATGCTATTTGATTGTTAAATAAATTTGTTATATGATATAAGTATTTATTAATATCATAGTATTGAAATTTGGGTTAACCTAGCCAATTGAATTATTAAACTATTGAATCAATACATTGATCAATTCAATTAAAATTTTATTCATGATCGATCTGACCACAATTTCACTATATTTTTCACTATTGATCATTGAATGGTGTTTTAACTAATTCAATGATCATCCATTTTCTAGTACCTTGATCAACATAAAAGCGAATTGTGCTTGTTGTTTGCTAATGTCATTCAATCTTGAAGGAGCTTGAAGTGTTGGAAGATCCCTTGAGAAAGGAAGTAGCAATGGTACGTAAGAAAATTGATATAGCTAACAAAGACTTAAAGCCACTAGGACAGAGCTGCCAGAAAAAGGTACAAAAAATTATGAGCAAAAATTTTTATTTTATTTTTTCTTTTCGTTAAGTATTTGTTGTCGAAAATGAAAAGCAGTCAAAGTGGAATCTGAATTCTGGAATTGAATGATAGGAGAAAGAGTATAGAGAAGCCTTAGAAGCTTTCAATGAAAAGAATAAAGAGAAAGCTCATCTGATTACATCATTAATGGAGGTACACATTTAGGAGACTGGAACTCTATATCTTAATTTTAATTCTTGTTTTGACTTTGTCCGCTATTTTTTTTCCTAGCTGCTGACTGAGAGTGAAAGAATAAGGATGAAGAAGTTGGAGGAGCTGAGCAGGACCATGGAATCCATGAATTGAAACAAAACAATACTGTGGCTAATTTTTTTTCATATATTTGTCATTGCGCTTGCATTTATATTGTTCAAGAACTTTTATTTTCCTTTGATGTTAATAAAAGAGACGTTAGGTATTGCCAGAATCTTTTTCATACGCATCATAACTACATGTCAATGGGCAAAACCTTAATTAAATGTGGAACTGATCCTTTGATATGTAAATTTACATCCTTGATACAAATGACCATATATTTGGCCAGGTTTTAACAACATAAGTTGAGGTCTTAACAAAAGCCAATGTTCAGATTACACGTAAACTATACCAAAACTTACAGCGATTCTTGAATGGCTGTCTGAGAACCATCTTTCAAATTTAAATAAAATCAGACCAATATTAATCAGACAAGTCAAGTTCAAAGAGGCAGCTGCTTGTAACCTGCTAAGAGTTGTGGAACATCATCCATGCGTAACTGCAATGTGATAAAAAAGGAAATGAGAAAATCCAGTTTTCCACATTTGGAAAAGAAAAAGATGCCACAGGGAAAAACAAAATATCAAGTAAAAGAAGAAATGGGCGTAACCTGAGAAGCATCTTTGATATGATAAAATTGATATATCTTATGCCCATCTAGCCCAGGTTGTAGATCTGATCCGCTGCTTTCTCTATTTAGTTACAACCATAGGCAACATAAGGAAAAGGCATCAAGTTAAAAAGAAAAGCAAAATATCCATAAACTGGATCAGTAGAAATAGTAATCGGTGAAGTATACTATTCCAAACTTTATTGCATAAGACAGACTTAAATGTTTATGGACATCAAACTAATTTACTGATATAAAATATGTTCACTTGATATAGAAGTCCGAGTAAGCCATGCAGTTCCTTTTATTTATAAAAAATAAATAAATTGAAATGACAATATTAAAATCCTAGAATAAAAGATGAGCAGAAGAATGCTGTTAAACTCATTCCAATTTCTTATATGAGAGTGATGAGTTGCTAAGGAGTTTAATTAGTAATGATCAAGGGGATGATAATAAAATTAGGAACACAATAACAACAAGCCTTATCTTACTAAGTAGAGTAGGCTACATGGATTGAATGATGTTATTGTGATTTATCATTAATCAAGTTTTTAAGAATATTGTTAACCAAAAGGTCACGTTCAATAACTTTCATAAGCGTTCTCTATAATCTTCTTCTACCTCTCTTTACAAGACTTAAAGCTATCCATTCCACTATCCCACTCCTGCCTCCCATGACCTTCTTTGTACACGGCCAAACTATCTCAAACAATTTTTTACTATCTTCCCCACAATATGCAATTTAAATAAAACAAAAAAAGTTCCCACAACTTAGGAAACATTTGACCCCTAAAAAACTCTGACAATGACGTTTATTATCCTTTTTCATTGTCATACAAGGTCTCCTTCTTTTAGGTCAGATATACAAGAAGCATCTTCCCAAATCCAATGCCTTGCTGGAGGTGGAGGCATAGATGTCTCTTTCTCGATAAAATTAACTCGGTTTACCATATTACAGCTTCAAATTATGTGAGCCTATGACATCATGTACTACAAGCTCCTAAAATTAGAAGCAGTATATATCTTGGCTATAGCTGCCAACCAACAGAGTTTGTTTTCAACACAGCTAACAACTTCACCCAAATGGCATGGAAGCTAAGCCATCTATCAAGTCAACTATCAATTGATACAGGTAGATATATTACAGGATGACATAGCTTCTTTTATTCTATTGACAGCTACTACAGCCTTCTACTTAGATATCTAAGTTTCACTGTCTAAAAAGATCAGCTGAGTGAACAAAAATGTCCTGTAATCAATAATCCAAGAATTTCAGTAAATACTACAAAGCAACCTTCATGAAGCGTACAAAGTTGCAAAGTCAAACTAAGTAGGATGGTGAGATCAAAGTAAACAAACCTTCATGAAGCGTACAAGGTTGCAAAGTCAAACTAAGTAGGATGGTGAAATCAAAGTAAAAAATAAAACTGAAACATACATTCAAAGAATCAAGAACTGAGCTTGTTGACGAAATAAAGTTCTTCAAGCTTTGCATTTTGAAAAAAATATTGCAACTTGTACGATACATGTCAGCAGTAAGGGGGAAAGGCAAAGGGTACAAGGCTGTAATTCTTACAGATGGTGTCGGTAAATTAGACGTTGATAATCCCGAAGCAAAGGTCCAAGCTCCAAAAGTCTAACCAAATTTGGTTCAGACTTCTTCCAGTGGTCACGAAGTGCTTCAACTGCCTTTTTTTTTTTGGTCCCGGGGGGGGGGGGGGGAAGAAATACAATCTCAATCAGAATGAGTGAGACAACACAGCATGTGTGTGAAAAATGTATGTTACCTGTAAATTGCCAGAAACTTGTTCTCCAGCTAACGTTGATGCCAATTCAAGCAGTTCTCTATCTTCCAGCTCATCCACAATAGGAAGCCTAGAACGGGACATTGAAACTGATATGTCCAATCGTTTTTGCAACTCTGAGACAAAAGATTTCTCTTTTTGACTCTGCTGACAAAAGTAACAGTAGTAAACTAGTAAAGCCAGAAAGACAAACCCATGACAACAAAAGGTGAAAAGGGGATACATAACGGCATGGGTCCAAACTTGGCCTAAGCATGCATGAAATTTCCGGTTTCCAAAACTATTACCAAGAATTTTCGCCACTTTAATGCACCAGATTTATTCATACTGATCTCTCTCAAATTGTATAACTTAGATTATAAGAAGATATTAGGTCCATACACCGAATGAGTCTTTTGAGTTCACTCATTAAGTGATCTTTTATAGGAAAAATATTACTTCCAAAAAGGTTTAATCATACATAAGATAGTTAATCTTTTAAAAACATTCAAAGGTTATAAAATAATAAAGCCATGATGTTGTATAATATATAAAAAAAATCTTTATAAATCATATTTTCAAGTTATCAAACTTACAACATTGAAATAACCACCAAAAATAAAATATAAATAAATATTTAACCTTAATTAAGTATATAAAAACATGACACTGTTGGAAGAATTGATAGCAATTAGGGAAAAAATATTCAAATATCACAAGGATGTTGAACTTTCAACGGTCAAGTGAGATAGGACTATTCTCTATACTGAGGAAAAGAATAATAGATGCCTCTAATTTTCAATGTTGAGAGTGTTGGAAACAATTCTCCACTTGATTAGAAAAAGAAGATTATGCAGGATTCTTGCAGTCCAGTGAGTGTGATGTGACAGAAATAAGATCACTCGTGATGTAGGGGTGGTGGGGAGACTGAAAAATATCAGTTGGTCAATGGGGAAGTGTGTTGTAGACCGAAAGAGGATGGATAGTTGAACTTGGTACTTTGTGGTTATGTGGATTAGCCCATTTGGGGGACACATTCTGTCAGTCAAAAAGAACTGGCTGAAATCCGCAGAGGGCCCAAACTGTAAAGAATTATGTCACTATGGAACCTTTTTCTTTATGGCATAGAGTGATAAGAGTAAATATTGCGTTCATTAGCAAGTAGCAAATTCAAATATGGTGTTATCATAACAGTTTGGAACCTATAAATATAATTCCCCTTGTGGATTCACAAAAGAAGCTCCAATGAGCCAATGAGTCTAAATAGTTTTCTTTCTTTCTTTCTTTGTTTTTTTTTTTTTTTGAGGATTCCTTGTCCTCTCTTCTCTTCAATAAATTATTTTCTCTACATAAACTAAGTGTGAAGTTTCATTTTCAAACAGCATAACGAGGAGAGCTAGAGATGGGTGGTAAGAAAACAAGTTTGACAGGTACCTTGAATGAGGATTGAAAATCATCATTTGCCGATGCAGAATCCTTACTTTCAGGAACATTGTTGAGAGGAGATGCAGTTAATCTCTTAGTAATTGGATCCTCTGAGGAACAAGAAAAAAAGTGAGAGTTTAGGAAGTGGAATTCATGTTTAAATTAATTATTTACTAGTGGAGAATAGGAAGAGAACAACATCACTGTGCATGAAATCAGATCATTACAGCTAAGAAAAATTTCAGACTTCAAATTGAATCAAGAATTACTTATTTTTAATATAAAAAAAACCTGGAGTAAAATGGCTTTTTTTAATGAAAGAGCAAAATAGCATTTTAACTATAAAAAGTTATTATTGACCAAGAAAAACCTATAAATATAGATAAATTTGAAGCCAGGAATTACAATATTCACCTTGTGGAACCAACCACCATATATCACCATATGTTGATTTTCCATCAAAACCACCAAACAGCATATACCGTGAACCAATCAATATCATAGAATGATACGCTCGAGCAGGTGGCGGTTCACTGCCTGTAGGTAAGCGCTTCCACTGTGCTGAAACTGGATGCAACAGATAAACAAAATAAATTAGCATAAATATAATGAGTTTACAATTCCTTAAAAATGATTGTTGAACATGAGACTGTTAATATTATTAACACTTATACACCTCATACCGGGGTAAAAGCAACTCCTAAGGAATTGTTTTGGGAAGACTTGGAGAGATTGATTCAACGCATACTACAAAGTGAAAAGATCTTTATTGAAAAAGATTTTAATAATCATGTCAGGAGGGAGGCAGGTCATTATGTGAAGGTGTATGGTGGTTTTGGTTTCGGGGAGCTAAATAATGAAAGACAATCTATTCTTGATTTTTCTTTAGCATATAATTTCAAGATTGCCAACACTTGTTGCAAGAAGAGGGATGAATATCTCGTCATTTACAAAAGTGGAGCCTCAAAATCACAAATTGATTTCCTTTTGGTAAAGAACATGGATAGAAGACTCTGTAAAAATTATAAGGTAATTCCTAGAGATGTCATAATGACATAACATAAGGTCCTTGTCCTTGATGTGCATGTTACCAATAAAAATCAAAAGCTTTGACACGTGGTATCTTCGAGGATTAGGTGGTGGCAATTAAAAGGTGAAAAGCGGGAAAATTTCAAGTGAAATGTTTTAGCCGAAGGACTTTGGGAGTCTTAAGACAATGCTAGCATCTTGTGGAAGGATATGGCTAAGAAGGTAAGGAATGTTACTAAAGAATTTTTGGAAGAATCAAAAGGTTTTAGTCCAAGGGATAAGAAGTCTTGGGGGTGAAATGATAGTGTATAAGAAAAAGTCAA